GTGGGGTCAGGTCATAGTCCACCACGCTGGCCACGTGCGGCTTGGCGGATTTCACATGCATTTCGAAAACTTTCTAGGTTCTCTCAGACATGCAGGGTTCCTTACGATATTTTTCTACACCGTAAGACAAGTAGTGCTAATGTTGGAAATGATTCGCACATCAAAATATCAGAGGTGTGAGAGCCGAGATTTGAACTCGTTTCAATCGGTTTCTCAAAAGAACGCTTTACTACTGGGCTACCACTGCCATGGAAAAAAATTACTTATTATCTATGATGGAGATTATTTATGAAGATACAAGTTTTGTGATATTTTTGTAATTCTGAAAGAAATATACTTATTTCGCCTAAAATTAGGATTTTCATAAAAAATAACCCCTTAAATTTTTTTCCCCTTTGGTTTGCTATAAAAATCTTTATTCACATAAAAGATATTTATACAGTGACGTGAATTTTTATAGAGCTATTAAAACATTAGTTTTGCAATACATTAACTTCATTTATAACAAACCATTTGGTCAGCGCACGAATTTGAAAACATGAATTTTATCAGTAACTTCATTTACAAAAAGAGTAATTTCATACTAAAATTATTTTATATCAGCGAAAATATTCTCCAAACTCAAATGCCCATGATGTATTAAACATGGTGATCAGTTGAGCAGTATAAAATTTTATAGGCTGCAGCACCATCTGGTGGCAAGTTAGAGTAAAATGGATAGCATAAAAACACTTCTCCATATAAAACACTTTTATATGACGTTATTTTCATTCTTCAGACATAATTAACCAGGTAGTCCTTTTATGGAACAAGGCAACTTAGCATATTTTAGAGTATCTATTTATTTCCAGATTAATAAAAATAAAAAAGAATTTTAGGGTAGTCGTACCCTAGCAGACGTTTGAGATGTTACTGTTAATTCCTGAGCGCGTGTGAACGTTGCCTCACAAGAAAAAAGAATGAGACATGAACAGAGCGCGTTACGGAGATAGACATAAATATGGCAGATACGACTACCCTAAAATTCTTTTTTTATTTTTATTAATCTGGAAATAAGTAGATACTCTAAAATATGCGAAATGCCTTGTTGGATAAAATGACTACCTGGTTAATTATATCTTCGAATGAAAAAACTAATATAATGATCGAACTTCACTTGTTAAGATAGTTTGATCGTTTAATATGTTTCAAAATTTATAGAAAGTACCAAATAGCATATTTTTTTATTGTTCATAAATATAAATATAACGGTTAAAATGGATAAGAAAAAAATTCAATACAGGCTAAGTCCCCAGATTACTTTTACAAACATACGATATATACACACGGAAAATATATTTATATGGAAAAAATAATAATTTATAACCTTAAAAAATTTTGAGAATGAGAAGTGACTCACTTAAAGTCAGCAAATATGGTAATTCTTCGCGCTGCAAAGGTTTAACGTAAATAACTGAAATTGGTAAAGGTTTAACAATAACAATCCTAGTTACCGCTTTTACCCCTCACTTACTTTACACTTGGCTTAGGCCCTTGTATAGTAAAAATTACCTTCGTAATTGAAGAGATTTTAAAGTGTAATGTAAAATAATAATAATAATAATGTTCTCCTGACCGATTTCGGCAACGGCACCAAATAAGATCACTTAGCCATCTGTGCATAAGATACTATAGTGCACAAGTGTGCGCGCAAACACAAGTGCACCCTCAATTATTACTTATGATCCGGTGGGACGACACTGCACACGACCGGTGACACATCAGGCGCAGGACCTACGGCTTTATGTTTTCTCCGAGACATAGGGTTGTAAATACAGTCAACTTTCTCTCCGGACTGTTATTCAGAATTTACTGACAGAAATCTATACTAATAAATAGAGAGCCGATTTTTTTGTTCGGTTATACTGCGATAACTACTGAACCGATCGGAATGATACTCATACCATAAGATGCAGCGTGTTTCAGAGAAGGTTTTAGTATATGATGTGTTAGTGATTAATGTACTATGCGGGCGAAGCCGCAGGAAAACGCTAGTACTCAATAATTAAGCTTGGCCCGACATGCTAGCCTCTAGGCTACTAAGGCATTTCTTATAGGTGTAGGAATAATCCTATAATCTACTCGTAGATATAAATCCTAGACTAATTGGCAACTTTTTACTGAGGTAAATAACTCATGTGAAACCAAAAACTCGTTAGTACATAAACCTTACACTAGGTACTTCTCTTGAACTAATATACAAGTCACTTGTTCCTTAATCTGGAATAGCTATTTAAAGTGTTGTACTGCGGTCGTTTCAACAAATTATAGAGGATTCGAGCTCTTTGTGGAAACTACTGTTTTTATTACTTAATGCTATCCGTATTTAGGAGTCACGTTTTGTCGTAAGTTTAACGTTTATCTGCAGGTGTACTGATAAAATTTGTTACTCTGGATAATTGAATTAATTCTATTCTTTATAATTGTATAATAATTAAAAAAACCAGACAAGTGAGAGTTTGACTGGCGTATTGATGGTTCCGTGCCACCAAATAGCTTCATTCGTTTAACTTATTCAATTTGTAGTCCGAAAAATTAGTTTTTATTTTATACTTTATCTAAAACATTATGAATACAAAGTAAGTATTTTGCGATCGCTGAACTGACGAAGCATGTAAATGAGTATCTCCCATATTATCTCAAAACCTGAATAATTTTTGTTGATAGTATTTTGAAAGTAAAAATTTACTTACCTCAAATATTTCCGAATTTTTAATTGTTTTTTACACAAAATTTATGAATTTAGAACAGTATAACTTAGTAATTCTTGGTTGTGACCTCATTTTTTTCACTCATTTACTTTCTATGATTTTTTTTCAATAAATTATTCGTAATTTGACTACAACATTATAAAGTGGTTCACATGAGACCTACTGTCCAAATTTCAGTCTTACAAGTATAATAAAAATAGGTTTCGTGTAAAATGTGTGTCCTGTGACATGACAGACAAACGGATAGACGAACATAAAGTAATTTAAAGTGTTCCGTTTTAGCATTTTAGCTATGAAACGCAAAATAAATGTAAATACAAGATTATATTTGCTACCTAAGCAAATATATTTTAAAATATATTTTTTAAATAAAGCTAACAGATAAATCACTGTAAATCTTGAATAGCTCTTCTTACTGCCAGATAGATGGTCATTACAAGTTAGTCAGATGAGACAACTCGAGTACTTTGTCGAGGTTTGCTGTATTTATTGCTCACAACTGTGTCTGTATTTCGTTCATATCTAGTTAAAATGGTTTTGCCTGATACAAAATTATCTTAATTTACTCATTTATTAAGTAAAGTTATCAAAATGGAAAATGAAATATACGGAGGATTACTCCAGTGTCTTTCTATATAATTGTCATGAAGTAATTTAGTGGATTGGACAAATCTAACCGATAGAAATGTTGTAGTTTTTGGAACTTGTATAGTATTCGGTGGTCCATTGACGGACGTTCTATAGTGCAAATAGCGGATATAGAATTTTGTGGTCTAATTTTGTTAATAAGTTTGTGTCAAATATTTAAGTCAAATTATTTTGATTACTTATTAAAAATGTTTAAAATATATTATTAAGCCTTTATAAAAAAATAATTAATTATCAAAATTTATTCATTTTTATTTGTTGTCTTTATCTGACGAATAATGCGGAACGGATTTTATTGAAACTTTTTTAATGTGCTCATTTATCTTTTATTTTAATTGTTATTTTTTTTTATTTTAAAATAAAGTGTATGCTTGAACTTTTAAAATCAAACTTTTAAACAAATCTTTAAGTCACATTTTAACCAATATATAAAAATATACAGAAACTGTATGTTCCAATCATACAGTATTTTATTATATCCAACCAGCGGCTCACCCTAGCTTCGCTCGGATTCGCGTCTAAAAAAACAAAAACAAATCTATCCCTTGGAGACCGTATATTTTTATGGGAGAAAAAGTAACATAAGTGTTATTCCAGACTATAATCTATCTCTGTGCCAAATTTCACCCAAATCCGTTTAGCCGTTCTGGCTTGAAAAAATAACGAACATCCATACATACTCACAAACTATCACATTTATAATATTTATACAGACAGATTGTATTACTATTTTATTATACGTACAGATTTTCTGTTTTTCCAAATATGGAGTCTATAAAGTCAAGTATAATATGTGAATTTTGTATCATACTTAACTGATATAATCCCATCCTTTTATGAATCTTATGTCGCCAAAATCCTTGAAGTATAAAGTAAGGGGTCAAAAGTGACGACGGTCGTAAAGCTCCTTGCCGTTTCAGACTTTCGGAGACTTATTTTTTATGGAGGTAACTTCTAAACATGTTTTATCCTTTATTATAAAAATTTGTTATCACTATTAAAAATATATTAATTAATCATTATTTTGCCTTTTAATTTACTTCATTAAATTTTCATGTTCTATTTGGTTATCGTGGTATTTTTGGTTTTTATTTACTAAGAAAAAATAGTATCAATGATTCGTATATATTGAAGTAACAGTTAAATGTGTTATAACAGAACAATATTACATATAATACTTTCTTATTATAGTTTTTAGTTAAAACATTAAGAAGAAACGTTTTCGAAGACTACGTTTCAAATCCGTACGAAATGAAATTTTAACTTAGCCTATGGTCTGTAAAAGTATCAAGATGTAACAGATAAACATACATGTTGCATAGTTATAGAAATTTTTACGCCGAATTTAGGTCTGAAAGATACGCACGGAATATTATTTGCAGTGGGGCGACAATATGTCACGACCATTAAGACATCAGACGCAAGACCACTTTAAATGAGAATTCCTGACATGGGATTTGAGCCCAAGACCTCAGCATCTGCAACCGTACATTCTAACCAATAATTCAACACATAATTATAATATTAGTAAGAACGTTAGAAAAATCATTATAATTATGTGTAATATTTTTGGATAAATAATTAAAAGAGATTTTTTTTCAGTTGCACTCATGGTGATTTCCTCAAAGTGTACTCTGAAGGTGGAATCCATGGACCGGGGCCTCCCGGCATCAACGAATATTCTGCCTGGTCTAGAATTCTATGTGGAAACAGAGCTGAGACGCCACCCGCGTTATATTCACATGGACCGCTAATGGTTTTGGAGTTTCAAAGTGGGCAGAAACCTTCAAACGCTTCAGGATTTATCGGAACATACAGGTTTATAGATAGACGTAAGTATGTTTTGTATAAAATACATATTATATCTATAAATATAAAATAATTGTAATGGAACCTATAAACCAGTATATTAAATATTAGCGAGTAGCGACGCTCGCTCGCTTCACTCGGTTTCGTGCCTAGGTTGCTTCCCCATACAAACTTTAAGGGATGATTTCCGGGATAAAAAGTATCCTTTGTCTTTCTCAGGATCTCAAACAATCTTGTTACCAAGTTTCATTTAAATCGGTTCAGTAGATTCAGAGATAACCCCCTAAAACGTCACAAACTCACAAACTTTACCTATTTATAATATTAGTATAAATAGATACAAAATACATCTAGGAACGCACCAAAATGTGTTCTATCCTACTAAAATAACGATCCATATATTTTTTTTGTTGAAGTTATCTTATTTAAATTACTGTGGGACTCTGGACTGTTGGATTCTAAAGTTGACTTTTGGTGCGTCAAAACGCTAATAGAAAATATACCTAGAACATTCATTAGATGTATAAATTTAAAATAAATTTATTTTTATTACTTCACATAATATTTTGTTTGGGTTATACATAGAAAAATTATTGATATATTCTTCTCTTTAGTCGATAAGGCTACACTTCGTATATATTTAAAGCACGACACAATTTTATTTATTCAACAGCATAAACTTCCATACAAATATCTTTAATATTTAAGTTAAAATGTTTGAAAATATTTAGAGCTCACTTTGCGATCGTTGGCACTACGTCGAAACTTGATATTGTCCATGAAAACGCGACACTCAGAGCGCTACACATTTCGATTCAATACGCAGTACACGAGCACACTTTACTTACCAGTCAGGTTTCTAAAACTTAGTATTACGTAAAGCTAAGTAACGCTCTTCAACAACACAAAAAACTAAGCTAAACAATATTTCAGCTTGTAATAAAGTTTCTTGAAATTAATCAAAGTATTTTTTCAATTTAAGTATCTTAAATAGGAAAAAAGTTTACTTACAATATATAAAATAAAGGAGATAGCATTTATACTTTGGTACAAAACAAGGACGATATTTGTTTGAATACTAGCGATTCATCCTCGCTTTGCTCGAATTCGTCCAGATAGGTAGGTACATTTTAACGGTTAGTATGAAATAGACTATGTATTACATATACATAAGTATGAAATCCATAGGTATTATGAGTTGTTATCGTTTTTATTATAACATGTTTTCCCGTGGGAATGAGATAATCTCCCGCGGTAAAAAGTATCCTATATCGCTCTCCAGCCCTCTAACTATCTCCACAGAAAAATCACGCCAATCTGTCACTTTGTTTCCACTTGAAAAGAAGGACAAACAAACGCACTTTCACATCTATAATCTTTAGTATGTATTATACTTAGATGAACATAATTATACATCGTTATAGAACACCAATTACATATTATAACAATATCTCAATGCTGCGACGGTGAAAAGGCCATCATCACGTTTCTCTAAAACTAGTTACGTTCTTTCATACCTGTAAACTTGCGGATGATTTTTACTGTATAAGAAAATGACACTTAATCATGTGAGAAAGAATTTCGCTCAAGAAAATCTCAGGGGTGATACACTCAGACTTGAACCCGCTTCACACGTTTTTGAGGCGAACGTGTTACCAATATAAATTAATTTGGATTAGAAAATTTTATAACTAATAAAATAATTTCATTTTAAAGGAAACTTCGAGACAGATGGCGTAAAGGTCAGCGATACATTGTGCGACTACGTGTTCACTTCGCAACAAAACAGACCAGCACATGGAAGACTTTACAGTCCCAGATATCCTTCCAGCTACCCTAGTAATGTCAGATGTAGTTATCATTTTAATGCAAGGTAAGTGTAGCATTTGGCTTAATTTAATTTTGGATAGACGTAATAAATTAGTTAGCTTTACGAAAATATATGTATTCATTAAATAATTGTAGTTCATATAATATATAATAATAATTACAATCATTGTATAGGTATAAAATGTTGTATAGTTGCGAGTGTACAACGTCTATACAAATAATAAAATTGTAACTAAGTCGAATCAGTACATTAATTTTTTTGGAAAATCTTATTGAAATAGACATTATTATCGATACAGACCCAGAATTTATAGTTTTTAGAATTTTTGTCCGTCTGTCTGTTACCGCATCACAGAAAAACCACTGGATTTCGATGAAATTTGGTATGATGATAGCTGGTTATCCGGGTCAACATATAGGATACTTTTACCGCGGGAAAATGTCTCATTTCTGAGAAAAAATACAAAAACTGCAATGTAAGAGTATGCTAATATGTAAAAGTTTAAAACCTAAGAATTTGATTTTTGGTCATCTGCATGCGGGTGGAGCCGCGGGCAATGCTAGTTTTATTATAAAATAGCACGACTGAACTATATTTTTAAAATAGTTTAAGAGATAGCTGTCAATTCATGACAAGGACAGTTAATTAAAAATTACTTTAAGTCAGAAAGAGATAAAATATTTTCCTGAAACATTTATTGTCATTGTTACTCCATTTTCAAAATTTCTATTATTAGAATGTTTTTTGTTTTATATATCTATATGTCCATAATAAATTTTTTTAAGTCAGCTTAAGCTCGAAGTTAAGTATGAGAAGAGATACATACTTATAAGCATAAAGCGCTTTAATAATTGTAATAAAACTGTTATAAGTGAATCTATCTATCTATATTATAAATAACCAGCTTAGATTTTCTAATACAAGAACACTTGGTATTGGTAATATTTATTATGAAAAGTTCTAGAAAGCCAAATTATATTAGCGAACTGAATGGACATAAGAATAGAACCCATACTAATATTATAAATGCGAAAGTAACTCTATCTGCCTGTTTGTTACTTTTTCATGCTTAATCCGCTGAACCGATTAAGATGAAGTTTGGTATGGAGATAGTTTAAGACCCTGGGAAGGATAGTTTATATCCCGGAAATTATGCCTTTAGGGAATGAAACGGGAGGTGATAATTAGTATAGGTAATCAAACATTTCTCAAGAAAGGGACATAAAATTAATCATACCTATGTATATATAGTCTATCTCTTTTATACCAAGCGTCAAAATGTACCTAGGGACGAACTCGAGCGAAGCGAGTATGAGTCGCTGGTGTTTAATAAAATGCAATACTTTTTAAAGAATGCCAAAATATCAGAACTACAAATTATTAGCTCTAACTTAAGATTACGACTGTAATCTATGAAATATTATACGAGTATGTAATACAGTTAAAGTAACTATAATATTATAATTACAGGACCATTGCTGTATTTAATTACAAATTTTACATGAAATACACGCGAAATTACCTACGTTTATTTATGTAAATAAACACATTTGGTCACACATTCATTTCCACGTTCATAACATTTGGTCGGGATAATTCTCGGGCTAAATTGGATGCATCAGCGGACACACGCTTAATTATTATAAACTAGATTTATCTTGGAAAGCGTGGCGCAGAACAGTTTGGACTTAATTTTGTGAAGACTACTATTAAGTTAATTTAATAAAATTTTAATTTTCCTACACGATTTTTACTGTATTTACGTTTGTTTCTAATTTGAATTGAAATAAATTGGCTTTCATGTGTAAGATACTAGAGAATGTTGTATTTTTGCATGGTTTTTAAATATATAAATAATTTTTCTATTGTTCATAGAAAACATGAAAAAATTAAGCTGATATTCGAAGAATCGTACTTACAGAAAGGAGACGAAAGGTAATAAGTAACTAATAATGAAATATATAATATGAATACTTGTTCGTATAAATTTATTTATTCTTGAATTCTTATTGTTACAGTTGTTTGAATCGTGCGGACATAATCAAAGTATTTGATGGGAAAATGCCAACGGCGCCAGTCATTGCAATGCTCTGCAATGAAATTGTAGGTGAGAAAATGCAAATGTTCTTTTCTAGTATATTTACTTACAAAAATAAAAACATTTATTGTTTGTTTTATTTAATAATGTATATTAATCTAATTGATCTATTTTTTTCTACTTGTATTACTAATTTTTATATTTAGCCATATTATATATATATATATATATATATATATATATATATATATATATATATATATATTCAAGGTTTCAGATTAAGTTTTTTTTAAGATTTCCTTTCCTAAATGGGTGTAGGATGTAATATTTTTGTTATAAAAAAATTTCCGCGTAATAAAATTAGATTCTAAAATTAACATTTCTTGCCTGCAAAGCACCTTACCAATTTTTAATTCATTATTTTACATAACTTTAATAGAGATTAATATACATATATAGTAAATAATAATAATTTGTTCCTCTCATTTCTAGGCCTTAAAACAGATAATCTGCAAAAAAAGCGTTTAAAATAAATATTTACTTTCGCAATGCGAATGTTTAACCAAGTTTTCCCCTCCAGTAATACGAACGAGGTATTTCTAGATGGTCACCTCTAAAATAAGCTGTTCTATTTGCTTGATAAGCGCGGATAAATAAACTTTTTAGGAAAATATTTGTGCTTGTAGTAAGGGAAGCGGAAAGTGCTTTTTGTTTTTACTACAATCCAATTTTAAACTTTGTTTTAAAAATTAATCCAATAGCACTGATTTAAAATTTAATTTTAAAATTGTATTTTAATACTTATTAATGCTATTAATAACGTTGAGTGGATTTTTATTTTAACGCTTTAACTATAATCAAGTACTGAATGTATATTACTTTTATAAATGCACCTAAACTTTTTTCATGAAAATTTGCTTTTACAAGTCAAATACACTTTACATAACTTTTAGGTTACGAAATTCTATCAACGGGGCCCGAGCTTTTAGTTCAATTTACGGCTAATTCAAATACGCCGGGACAAGGGTTCAAAGCCAGCTACCAATTCTTGATGGAAGATAATTCTAGCACAGGTCTAGTAAGCATTTTTTGCCCCTAACATTTTCCTAACATAAAAAAAATAACAACTGATTAGCTTCTGACGACCAAATTTTTTTTTTTATTATTTGTAATAGTTTGACATAAGTAGGAAGTATGGAACATCTGTCAAAATTTTTCTTTGAGGTCAAGCGGTCGAATGATAAATAATTAATTTTGCCCGCAGAGTATTTTCTCAAATGGATCGAGATTTCCATTTTTAATAAAGAGTGATATTTCCAAAGCCAATTTCTAAATATTATATCTGCAATGGCTATACCATAAAATATCAAATGTATTCCTAAAAGTTTAATTATTATTTATCTTTATTAATAATAATAAATATTATGATTTTACAAAGTTTTTGTAACCTTTAGCTTATAATATATAAACTTCATCTACTCTCATAGAATATGTAATTTATAATAATATTTTTTATAGATGTTGAAAGTAATAGAAAGGCGAGTACAATAAATATAACTTCTGCCTTGGGACCAGCTGTCAGCGCCGCAAGTAAGTGGAAGGTTAAAGTAAACAAGAAACAAAAGTCTTAACTTTCGCTTTTTCATTTTAGAATAAGTATTGCCGAATTTTATTACGATACATACGTTTTTCTGAGTTGGTCCATTCTTTTAAATACATTAACATTAATAAGATAGTAAATTAATTATGATAAAATTGATTATCGAGCTAATAAGGATGGTGTAAATACATGAATAGAACAGCAACAAAAATGAACACTAAATTTTATAATTTATTAAAGATGCCTAAAGGTAGCCTATGTGTTACTCCAAGCCATAGTTTATCTGTCTAATAAATTTCATCTAAATTCGTTCAGCCATTTCAGCGTCCAGTAGTTACGTACATACGTACATACAAACTTTCGCATTTTTACTAGTAGTGTGATACATATTAACTTTGAATAGAGTTGCTAACATTCTCGACGCTTCCATATATATATATATATATATAATGTGAAACACGATAGGGTATCACTTAAGCCTTATAAACGTCTATTCCAGCGTCATCATGCCATCAAGTATTCAGGTCTGATAAGAGCAGAAGCGGCAAATTGATCTCTCCTTTATACCCGTCGCCGTATCCGCCGAAAACGCAATGTCATTATGACTTCCTAGCAAGGGGGAGACAACGCGTGCGATTGGTGTTCGAAGATTTCAGCTTACAGAGGGTCACAGGCAATATTATTGAGTAAGTTTACTGTTTTTTGTAATGGTTACTTTAATTTAAAAGTTTTTTTTTTCGAGTAAAACTTCTTTAAGCTCGACTTGGGAGGTAAACTGGTGAATGCGTTACGAAAAAATGGACGTATGTATGTTTGTTGCCATGGTAACCGTAGTTATTGTCTGACAAATGATATATAATATTATATTCTTTCGTTAAATGATATTCTATAAATTATTTATTGTAATATGCCTAATATGAGTTATTTTTAGTATCTCACCTATCCTAATTATTTAAAACATAAATTGAATTTCATAAAGAGTACCGATAACCTACAGCACTTGTTTTTTACTTGTTATTCTTGCGCGTGTACACATTTATACACGCACTCTTTATTTTTTTTAATTTATTTTAGTAGCTTTTTAACAGCTAAGCTTATTTAGAAACAACATTTGATATAGATTTTATACAATATTTTATACTATTTGGTACATATTTATCATTTTAAAAAGAATTAAGAATTCTCGTACAACCATCTTGATTTAAACAATCTTAATTTAAAAGTTTGTTTTATGAAAGAACACAATATATGTAACTAAAATATTAAAGCATTGAAGATTGTGAGTGCCAATTCAAGCAAGTACACAATGCTGGTCAAGTATGGGTTTTCGGTTTTCATATTAATCCTTTCGAAAACTTGCTAGGTTTACTCACATATGAAAGTTTTCTCACGATGGTTTCCTTCACCGGAAGGGGTATAGTAATCGTGTTGAAAATAATTCGCACATGAGAATATAATGGGTGTGAAGCTTGAAGTGTAAACTGGTATAATATTGCCTCATATTGCTATAAATTAGCTTATTAATTTTGTGGCGAGCTGCTTATTAATAGTAAATGAAACCTACTCTGTGGTGTAAATCTTAGAACATGTTTAGATTGTGAATAATTGTTCTCACATTTTCTTATCAGACATTATTTATTTAACAATTGCAAGTAATACAATATGTGATATAAAAAGTACCTAATAGGTATATTGTGTTTTTAATTAATAAAGAACTATCGAGATACCCTCGTTTAGCTCGGGTTCGTTCGAAACTGAACAAAATCCGCGATTTCATGGGTTTTCATTTTTTTGTGCGGAACCTTAATCTATTTTCTAAAATAAAAGCTTATGTTACTTCTTATAACATCAGCTATCTGCTAGTGAAAGTGAATGTTAACTGGAATAAACAGAAAGACATAAAATTTTAAATATATATTTTTTTCTTATAAGTGCCGTATGTGCTTTCACATTTAGGTATTTAGTAAAAAACTGTTATTTAATTATTTAATATATGTTATAAAGAGGTAAAGTTTGTGAGATTGTGACTTTGTGTCGTTGTAGGAGGTAATCTCTGGATCTACTGAACCGATTTAGATGAAATGTAGTTTTATCCTGGAAATCATCCGTTAAGGGGGTGAAAATGGGGATGAAAATTTGTATGGGGATTCAAGCTAGGCACGAACCCAAGCTAAGCGAGGGTGAGTCGCTAGTCATATTAAAAGTAGAAGAAATGTATAAAAATGTCCGAGTATAATTTTACATAGTTAAAAATTAAAGATTTGATAAACTGTGATAGGTATTAGTGCGTGAAATTGTTTTCTGAAGAGCACTCTTGTCAAGTCATCGAATGTTGTTAATATTATTACAATTTTACTTATACTTTGTCTTAGAAAACTCAGGCAAAATTCCTACGTATTATTAAACTTAGCTTTTAAAACATAAAGTGCCAGCTTAGATTTAAAGCTTAAGTTAATCTTAAGTTTTTACTTACCTTCACAACCATTAGTAACATAGTGCTTAAAATGTGCAATCTAATAAAATGTCTCCACAGTACTTAAGTATTTGCTTGAACTACGAATACTTGTTGTATTTTACGATATAGGTTTTATTTTACATAAGATTTATTTCTAGGATTTATATACACATGGAGATAAAATACATTTTTTTGGCTTTTTAGAGTAAAATTTGTATTTTATATCAATAGAATTAACATTTAAGAGTAAAAATTCTGTAAATTAGTCATTTGGACAAATAAGCACTGAGATGACGAAAAATGTAGCTTACTAATGAAGTTGTAAGATATTATGGTAAAATTCTGATAAAAAAATTGTAGCTATTTGCTATAGTTATTGATCAATTTACCTACTTCAAAGCAAATTTAAAACTGGTAATAAAATCTAAACCTACGTATTTTCAGGAGATCTATGAACTTGTCGTTATGTAGGAGTACGTACTAAAGATTTACACAAATGCTCATTTCATTTCCTTTTCTCTCAGCTTTCCTCAGTCTATTAATTTGGAGAGGATATCAAAAGGTCAAGAAATTGTTTATGTGAAATGTGCCGTTCTATAACTTACTACTCTTTAGTATTAGAATTTTTGTTTCTGGTCACATGCTATATCTTATACTATCTTCTTCTATCTATATCTTTATACTAAATAAAAACTTTCAAAGAAGCCGTCTTCCAGGCACTAAAATGTAAAAAATAAGTAAACGGGGGTTTTCATTAAGAATAGATTCGGCGTCTGTATCTATAATAATGTCTATTTCAATAAGATTTTCAATACAGTATCAATTTCAGATTCGACTCAGAATTAATATGAATTTTATGTATAGGTTAAATTTCACAGAATCAGAAAAGTCAAGCTTATAGATAATCAACTAAATGTTTATTTCACTGTTTTTCTTTATTTCATCATTGTACCCATAATATTAGTTTTGGCTACCACCATAAGAATCTATTGACCAATAGCTATAAAAATAGGCCGACACGGTTTTTGTGGGGTGACAATTAACCCCAGCCGGCACTGCGGCATAGATTTATTGTATACTGATATAACCGCAAATCGGTTATTCGTATTCGGTCTACCACATACGAATAAATATGTAACCATGTAAAGTGACCAATACTATAAGTGCTACTACAATGGAACTTTTCTTTTTGTTCGTTTAAATAAGTTGCCAATGTAACTTGAAGTTTGCGTGAAATGAAAATGTATTTCATATAACGGTCTCTATATAACCTAGATCCTGAGCTATATATTGTATAGGTACTTATATAATACGTGGGGGCCAAGCAATTCGTATTTCCGCTTGTCATTCAATCGCACAATATAGACGTTTTTATCAAAATTAACTTTTGGAATCATATTATATATCTTTGAAGTCTGTTAAATGTTATTTTGGTATAATAAGATTTTTTTTATACCTTAATTTAACCGATCTCAAAAATAGAGGCGAATATTTGTATATCGAGTAAACACTTATACGTAATGGTTTTTCGTATAATATAAATAAATCGGATAGATTTCTTTTTACATATGAATGTACATGAAAGTGCAAGACAATCTGCTCTCAACCTTATGTATTTAAACTTAACATTATAAAATATTAACTCCCCGTTTGGTTATATTAGTTCATAGTTAAAATAAATATAAAACCAAATGTATACGGCTCATTTCGAATGAACTTCTAGAGAAGTTTATTAGAAATGAATAAAAAAATACTTCAAACGACTATTGAACCTGTGACCACTTGTATCGATATCCTGCATTCAACAATATATTCAACATTCAGTCCTCAAATATAAAATAATAGCTCTTATGCAAATAAAGCAAACTGCATCATATATCGATATTTCTCCAATGGTCAAGTTCCGAAATCCGAACGTAATTGATGTTTGAGTAACCGCACGAAGCGTTAACAGTAAATTGTTGGAATTCGCCGAGGTAAGCACATCACTCATGCAGCAAATGGCATGTAACCACAACGCGATAATTATAAATTTAAACGAATTTCCTATATGACATTTTTATTTAAAACACTAGCGAGTCACCCTCGCTTCGCTCGGATTCGTTCCTAGCTTGATTCTCAATACAAACTTTCATCCCCATTTTCACCCCCTTAAGGTATGATTTCCGGGATAAAAAGTATCCTATGTCCTTCCCAAGGTCTCAAACTATCTTTTTACCGAATTTCATCTAAATCGGTTCGTAGATCTAGAGATTACCCCCTACAACGTCACAAACTCACAATCACACAACTCACAAACCTTACCTCTTTATAATATTAATATAGATTATATTTAATAACCATATTTTGCTTGTTATAAAAATAGGTGAAAAATCTTTACGTCTATACAGTATGTGATTATGGTCCAAGCTGTGATTCAAATTAAACAGACTGAAAACGCCAATCCGCATTTGGCCAGCGTGGTGGACTATGGCCTGATCCCCATCGTATTGAAGGGAGGTCCGTGCCCAGCAATGGGACGTTAATACATATATACATACATATATAAAGACTGAAAACATATATGTGTGATAAATAGTTAAGTCGAATAATATTGAATCCACGACTTAGGATTATTTTAAGGCTCATTAAAATGACGCACGTACAGCTTATATACAATATAATACATATTTTCTTTGAATAATAGTAGCTTATTTTTATGCAATTTTTATATAAATATTTTTTTTTATTTTGTTATTTATACATTTTACTAATTATTTATTTTCCCATTACAAATCATAGGTATACACATTTCTAAAACACATTGTTTGTACAAAGTACATATAGCTGCTGTTATAAAATAAAAGAAAGCATTTCGAATTTAATATTAAAATTAAAATTTTCATAAAATTGCTGGCAAACAAATAGAACAATAGGCCACAATATATTGTTCAGATTTTTTAAAAGTTAGTAAAAAGCTCGAGTGGGTTTTCAGTATTTTGCATTGAAGCAGAGACTCGCTATAAAAACATGTTTGTGTGAAAAAACACTTAAAAGGTTCCAGGTCAAGGCATTTTTCGTGTAGGCAGGTTTTGCCCCAAATTAACCCTAATGACTGGCAACAAAACGCCTACACCCTATACAATGGTTACCTGTGTTTTTATTTTTAATATGATTGCTAAAGTAATATTAAAGCAGAGCTTACATATTTTCGATGTTTGTAGCAATTCGAATTAAAATTCTATTGAAATTACAGTCACGCGATAAATAAAAGCTTTCACAAAATAAAAAACTTATTTTTAAATAATTTGTGAAAGTTTAATTTATCGTAACAACGTAACGTGTCACACAAAACACGAACGAAGTCATTAACGAACTTTATATATAAATGGTTTTTATGTAATTTCTGTACAATAAAATGCCTATTCTTTAATATGGTACTAATTTCGCTAGGTATAAGTGGTATTTCAACATTTACTTTATATGGAAATGGAACCCTTTTACTCTGAAACTGAACTGTACGAATTTATTTGTATCTTTTGGTAACTTTATTTAAGTATTACACTTAGTTCACAGATTTTCTGTAATATAGTCTATACTAATATTATAAGGAGGCATAGTTTGTTTGTTTGTTTGTTTGTTTGTTTGTTTGTTTGAACGCGCTAATCTCAGAAACTACTAATCCGATTTAAAAAAATATGTTTACATTAGATAGCCGGTTTATTGAGGAAGGCTATAGGTCTAATTATATAATATATAGTCTATCTATTCCACACTAACCGTTAAAACATACCTAAGGACGATTCTGAGCGAAGCGAGGGTGAGTCGCTAGTGTGTGATAAAATGGAAATAATAACAAAGATCTTTTTATGCTTATGACTTCTTATAGGTATATCAAACATCGTATAAGGGAATAAATAAAGTAACTTTCTCATTTATAATATTAAGCATTTGTATTAAGAAATCTTCCTTTTACGAAACATGCGTGTTATTTACAGCTGTGAGAGTATGGACTCGTTAGATGTATTTTTATACGTAGACGGCCGCCTTGAGAAGATGGCGTCTTACTGTGGCAACGATGTACCCAAGTCAATCATGTCGAATGGACCAAAACTGTCTATTGAGTTCAGAGGCATATACTCGTCGAGGTATAGCAGAGGATTCAAAATATCCTATTATTTTGTTGAAGGTAAAACGATTTATAATAGAAATATTTTTTTCCTTATACAAAAAATGTTTTTGTTTGGTTTAACTTATTGGTCTTATATTTTTTACTCATTTTATTTATCTATAACAGCTCAGTGAATTTCAATGGAACCATTTAATCGTGTTTGAAATAAAAACATTGCCAAGCACTTTAATTGGTCGACTTCCAAATACTGCTTGAACCATTTATACTATGGGGATCATGTTTATTGGATATAAACGTAACAAATAAAACAAAACATCACAAGCTCGAGTTAAAAATAAAGTTTAAACGTTCAAATTTCTAATTAAAACAACTTTCTACCAGATTACGCCGTTGCAACAGGAAAACAGCTATTAGAGTTTCCATGTGCCTTCGTCTACAATAGTACTGAGCGGCGGCAGGGAGTTATGACGTCACCAAACCACCCCGGCCTCTACCCGCGGGATACTGAGTGCAATTACTTCTTTTACGGACGCAAGAATGAACGCGTGCATCTACACTTCTCACACTTTGACGTTGAGGGAGTTATGCCGTAATTATTAACATCTTACTCAGAAAATAATTTAATTTTCTTAAGTGCAGCAACATTTCTTAACTATCTTCATATATTTATTGACTTGTGTAATTTTTAATGACTTTAGAAAGGAAAAGGTACTCAATTCGAGTATAATATGTATAAAAAAACTACTTTTAAAAACCCGACTTAAAAACTAAAAAGTATAAAATAACTTAATAAAGATTTAATTTAATACACCTCTTATGCAACCCTTTAATATTAATAAAATACTATTATTTGTATGTGCTACCTATTGATAGGTTTGAAGTGGGTGCGAAGCCAAATGTAATAGTAGGTACACTCGCCGCGAACTGAGAAATCTATACTAAAGGCCGACACTGACTTCAAACCTATTTTGAAGTATTATATGCATGTATTATACATATAAAACTTCCTTTTTAATCACTCTATCTACTGCTAAAAATTGCATAAAAATCCGTTGTGTAGTTTCAAAGATATAAGCGTACAAACAGCGGGAGCGACTTGGTTTTATACTAGGTATACTATATTATTTTTTATCATTTTGTTTCTCTTCATCTACATCGCTTGAGCCATTTACACTACGGAGATAATGGTTATTGGTTGTGAACGTAGCAATTTTCATAATTTTAGAATAATATTTTCAGATGCGAATCTGTATCAGCCAGTGATTACGTACAGTTCTCACATAAGATGATTGATACGGGAAGTAAGCGGCATTGCGGTCAACTGAGAGAACTCCAAGTCGCTTCGAAGAGTAATTTCCTGAGAGTCACGTTCCGTTCTAACGATAGACTGGATGGTACAGGATTCAAAGCAGAATATATCTTCCTCAAAGATTCTGATATGCAAAGTATAAAGCAGGATGCTAGTGGTGAGGGTTTTATATTTTTAAAATGCAAACATTTTATTAAGATCTCGTATACTTTTTGATGTGAAACTTCTTTAGAATCGTTGTGATTTGAAACTCGATGAAACGAAAATGTGACACTAGAAAAAGACATACACATAATAAAGGATTTAGCCGGGTAGAGAATGAGATAGGATATATTGCCACGTTGCCATGGTAACCGTTTTCATTGTCTGACAAATATTTAATGTTATATTCTTTCCGTATATGATATTCTGTAAATATAGTATGATTGTAATATGCGGTATTAAATTATTATTTTGTTGTAATTTAATTTCGATATTTGCCAAAGAATGCGCGTAACCATTTTTTTCCTATGATTATTTATGTATATTTAAAAATATTTTTTTTGTATTAATAAAAAAAATTGTCACAGAAATACATATATCCTACGATATTTGTGTTATATGCGGCACAGTAAGTACATAGTATATGTATAAGGACATAGCAACGAATAATATAATAGGTTAAAAATAATTTGATTTATATTCACTTATTTTCTTTGTAAGTTCTTAGTCCTTTCTAGATATTGTTGAATTTGCTTAAAGATAGAATATATGAAATAGTTATTTCTCAAAGATATCGCATATTAAAAAGCTGACTGGTCTACTCGTATTCACTTATATGTTAAAACAAAAACATAGTTGTACAAGGTTGTGACTGTTGAAATAATAAAAGTTTCTGTGAGTTTTTAATCAAACATAACCTTACATCGTTGTTAAACTATTTATATTGTAGAGAAACATTCGATGGTGAAAATTTAACAGTATTCATCGAGAGAGAAAATTATTCGTTGAACTCTGCTCACCACTGTGGAAGAAAAATTGGCCCCGAGCCAAAGGAAATATTTCATTTAGCCTTTTACATTTGACTGTACCTAGAATACATTCATTTAGGTTTTTGTGTGAAAGTTTTTATTATAGTTAGTACTAATTCGTGGTCTAGTGGCTAGCTATACGGCTCCAGATCCGGCAGTCCTGGGTTCGAATCTCGGGTAGAGCCAAGTATAGATATAGGATTTTTCTGTCGATAAATTCTCAGTAACAATCCGGAATTGAGATGTTGGCGGTCTTGTTGCACAGTAGTAATGACGCTTATTATCTATATATTATGTAATATGCCCATGGTTTAATCTTATGTTCCCTCGCAATTACTTAGCAGCTTGATGGATTTTGATGCACTGCAACATTAGATACTAGATAATACGATTATCATATCATGATATGTATGTATATATATATATATATATATATATATATATATATATATATATATATATATATATCAACTATCTGGTATCCATAATACAGGCCTCGTAGCTTATCATGGAACTAAATGGTGCTCTGTGTTAATATCCATATTTATTTATTAAGGACCTACCTAGTATTTGTAAATATTTAAGTTACATTTTTTACGATATGACGATGTAATCAGTAAAAAATTGCAATATATTTTTAGCATTTAAGGATATATTTAATTTTTTTTCAGGTACTTCTTCTAATCGGATGAAGTCAATGCTATGGTGGTTTATTATTACCATATTTGTGCTCCACATAAAACTATAAGTAAAATGTAAATTAATTTATTAATACAGATAAAATAAATTATTATTGTTATAAAGATATTTGTTTTATTTATATTAACTAATTAGCTATTCGCCCTCGCTCCGCAACTTTTTTTTAACGTTGGGAAATGCATTTACGCACGAAGTGTGGGACTCACCGGCGAAGCCAGTACTACCCGCTAAAACCCAACAAAACCTTCCCCCGTCTTAATGGGACGTCGCAGGATGTATCGACATAATAATTATCCATTTTGGGTTCATAATATGAAGGTATATAGTCCAAATAATCTTTAAAGCAATAAGTTACGTGTTTGCAATTTTCTTCTTTGAAGCTGCTTTGTCTAATATGATTTTCAATAACACACAGAGTAAGGCTAAAAATCTGTAAAAAATAATAAAGATGTTGCAAGAAACGTGAAAGAAATAATCACTCAAAAATAACGTATTTCTTGGCATTAAAACGCAATAGATATTATACTATTATATATAATATATATAATGAACACTTATTTTTTTTAATACTAGCGACTTGCTCTGGCTTCGCTCGAGTGCGTCCCTAGTTGCCTAAAAGTAGTATGTGCTAGTCCAGGTCATACTTTATCTGTGTACTTCATTTTATGAAAATTCACACAATGCTTCAGCATGAAAAACAAACATACAAACACACGCATACAATTATAATTATTTTAATAGTAACCCGAAGACTGTATGTATGGAAATGATGAAACATCGCATTGCACATTCGGCATAATCCATACTGCTAATATAAGTGTGACACTCTGTCTGTTAACTTTTCACGCTTGAACTGCTGAACGCATTTCGAAAAAATTGATCAAGAATATAGATTACATCCTGGGAATGGATATAGGCTACCTTTGATCCTTACCCCAGTTACCACGCAAGCGAAGCCGCGGGATGAAACGAGTTTAATACAATTTAATAGTCAACATTTAGATATACATAAATTAGAATAAAAAATCCATTAGTTATAAAAAAAATGTACTGAGAAATCTTGTAAAGGAAATCCTTCTTTCGGATATAAAATGAAGGTTTAGCAAAAAAGCGTATTGGAAAAGTACTGTATAGATTTACGATAATGAAATGTATGAAGTAAAGTTTATGTGCACGTATTAAAGGTAGTATAAGGAAAATAAATAAAGTTGAACCGTTGAATTCGATGCAAAATTTAGAATACGTATAACCTAAAAGATTGCCTAAAAAATAACATTTTGCCGTTTAGAAGAAAAGGGGTTCTGCATACATATATTTTGTTGTACATACATAATATGCATTTGAACTGATCGGTAGTTTAGTGGTATTTAAAGCCGCAGATCTAGAGGTCTTGGGTTCGAGTCCCGGGTTGGGCAAAGTTCAGCCATTAAGTATTTCTGTCAAGAAACTCTCAGTAACACCCCAGAGTTGGGAAGTTGACAGTGTTTCACTCACTGGTCATGTCGAGCAGTCATGCCGCCGGAGTCTGTAAGCGACAGCAATGAACAGTGCACTTGTGTTTGCGCACAATATCTCCTGCGCAGATGGCTAGTCTCAATGAGTTGGCCACCGTGGCCGAAATTGGTCGGGAGATCATTATTATTATGTATTTGATTACCATTGTTCTGTTGGTATTTTTTTTACTCAGCGCAGACGAAGTAACATGTTATCGTTAGTTTACGGTAGTAGAAATAATAAGAAAACAAACATGCCTTTCCAATTTTTATATATGTTCTATTTCACTTTTAAAAGACCAATGTCACGACGGGCCAAATTAAGTTATTTATTTAGAATGGTTAGAGCAAGCTTAGGAAATTGACGAGTAACTACAATGTTTATACACAATTAGCGTGTTTGGACATTTTCGGACATCACTAGGAATGTTCTTGTATTCATTAATTCCGGTATTTATATAATGCTACGAAATCAGAATTTACTGACAGACTTCCAAAAAGGAGGAGGTTCTCAATTCGTCGGAATCTTTTTATTCATTTATTTTTCATGTATGTTCACCGATTACTCGAAGACACCTGAACTAATTTGGAAATATTCCCATATGAGACCACCTGGGAAGTATACCCTTTATATAAAGTTTATCGAAATCGGTCGACCGGTTTTTTAAAAAATCAACATTAAATATATATTTTTAAATAAATTGCTTATTCGAATATATTAAAAAAAAGTTTTATTCTTACAAATTACCTGCTTATTACGTCTACACTAAGAATGGGAAAATTAACACTAAAAAAAATAAAAACCGACTTCCTGGCACTAAGATCTAAAAAATAACTAAACGGAGGTTTTCATTTAGAATAGATATTCAAATATTTTCGAAGTCGGTGCCAGCCTACAATATTTTAAGATATGAATACTTAAAAGGTAAATATGTATTTTACGTATCGTATATGTATATATTAGATTTGCTTTGCATCTATTTATTTTTAAGATTTTAGTGCCCGGAAGTCGTTTTTTTTTTAGTTTTTATTTTCAAAAACAATTAAGATTACGGCAGTTAATATAAAAACGATTTTCATATACTCGTACTGATAATAATGACTAGTAACTTAACTTCGCTTCATTTGGGTGCGTCTCTAAGTGCCTTTTGTATTTATATCTACACTAGCATTGCCCGCGGCTCCGCCCGCGTTCAGATGACTAAAAACCAAAATATTAGGTTTTACATATTGATATACTCTTACATTGCAGTTTTTGTATTTTTTCTTAGAAATGAGACATTTTCCCGCGGTAAAAAGTATCCTATATGTTGACCCGGATACCCAGCTATCACCATTTCAAATTTCATCAAAATCAATCCAGTGGTTTTTCTGTGATGCGGTAACAGACAGACAGACAAACAAAAATTCTAAAAACTATAGATTCGGCCTCTGTATCGATAATAATGTTTATTTCAATAAGATTTTGCAAAAAATATTTAATGTACAGATTCGGCTTAGTTACCATTTTATTATATGTATAGATATTTTTGTCTGTCTGTCTGTCTGTCTGTCTGTCTGTGACCGCATCATGAGAAAACCACTGGGCAGATTTTTATGAAGACTTGGTACTGGGCAGACTTGGTATGATGATAGCTGGTTATCCGGTTCCGGATCAACATATAGGATATTTTTTACTGCGGGAGACTATGTACACATCTCATCTCTGAGAAGTCTATTATATCTAAACGTTAAAACCTTAGCTATAATACAGAATGCGCTACGTTTTGGTAAATTATATAATATGAAGATTTTTGTATAACTTTGTAATTTATTAAGTACATAATAAAGGGTATTCAAAGTGGAAATTTCAAAGGATAGATACTTTTATAGGGGTCGAAAGGTTTGGAGCGCGTTCGATGCGGGCTGAATGAACGTTTTAAGCGCTTTCATATTGGTTTATAACAAGTTGCGCTAGTTTATAGATAGTTATGTGAACTAATAGTAAATTATAATTTTATATACTAACTACCATATGATTTTTTTTAATTGTAATGACCATCAATAGAAAAAATCATGTACGAGTCACCACATAGTACGAAATGCTTATAATATAATAAATTTTTAACGTAAAAGTTACACGGGCATTAAAATCACTATATTATTCTAGCATCAAATTAGTGTCAAGTATAAGCCTTTGATGTATGATGAATTCATTTAAAAAGGAATCATTAAAAACTATTCACAAAAATTGGCGAAGATATCATCACATAACATGAAAATAAAGAAACAAGGTAAAAAAAGAAAGAATGAAATATGTATGTATAAAACAAAAAAAAATAAGTAAGACAAAAAGAAAAAAAAAATCAGTCCTCTTGCCTAAAATAATTTCAGTATGAAAATAGAACAATTTGAAACATTTTTCTTTATAAAAATAAGGCGTAAATTTTTTCTTTTACGTTGTACATCTAATTAATATTTGCCCTTAATTAAAATTAATATACTTGGAGTTTCAAAGCTATATCGTAAGTCTCAATTTTTTTAAATCATGGTGTAACACATATATACATACAAATAAATAAGAATGAAGTGTTTGCTTGTAATGTCAAAATAATCACTTTTCAATAAATCTATATGAAATGTGTACGTTACATATAAAAAAAAAACATTTTTTTTTTAATTTTTGTCCGTCTGTTGTCTGGCTTATTATCTCCGTCTCAGTTCCGGCTGGACCGATTTTGACGGGACTTTCACTTGCAGATAGCTGATATATTATTATCAGTAACTTAAGCTACTTTTATTTTAGAAAAAGAGTATTAGGGTTCCGTTCAAAAAAATCAAAATCTATAAAATGGTAAACAAAATCGCTAGTACAAAAATAAAATTATATGTATTTCATTCCACTTTATTTTCATTTTCATTCACAATATTTTCTCTAGAATCACTAAGTTTCTACCTTCAAGCATTTTACTTTGAAGCTTGCGCTACGTTGAACTTAGCCAATGGTCAACAATATTTAATAAACGCTTTCAGGATTTAATTGCATCTCTCTATTAAATGTAATTAATTTTCTTCAGAATGATATAAAGTTTCATATTTATAAAAAATAAAAATTAAATTGAAATAATAAATTATTATATTTGCGAATATGGATATTTAAGGATTTTTTTCACCAATAAACCACAAAACTTTGAAGGTTTATGCAAATAATAATTATAATATGCCTACTTACCCTTACCCGTATGACTTACCCTTTATATGTATATTATTTATGTGGGTTTGTCTGTGACATAATAACTACCAAACGTCTAAGCGGATTTCAATGCTGTTTCCCTAGTAGTTAATGGGAAAAAAATATCGGCATTCTTTATCTTAAGGAGATTAGCACCATTACATTGGTTATGTAACCATTAGACGCACGAAATTCAAAGTTATAACCTCTAGTATAGTAAATTATCTATACTAATATTATAAAGAGGTAAAGTTTGTGAGTTTGTGACGTTGTAGGGAGTAATCCAGAGATTTAGAGAGAGATCCAGCGATCTACTGAACCGATTTAGATGAAATTTGGCAA